TGGATGGATGGATGGATGGTGGTTGATGGATGGATGAACAGATAGTTGGATGAATTGATGAATGAACGGTTGGTTGGATGGATGGAGGGATGGATGGATGGATGGATGAACAGATGATTGGTTGGATGGATGGATGGATGGTGGTTGATGGATGAACAGATGGATGGATGGTTGGATGGATGAACGGATGGATGGATGGTTGGATGGATGGATGGATGAATGGACGGATGGTTGGATGGATGGATGAATGGACGGATGGACGGATGGATGATGGATGGATGAATGAATGGACGGATGGTTGGTTGGATGGATGGATGGATGGATGGTTGGATGGATGGATGGATGGATGGTTGGATGGATGAACAGATGATTGGTTGGATGGATGGATGGATGGTGGTTGATGGATGAACAGATGGATGGATGGTTGGATGGATGAACGGATGGTTGGATGGATGGATGGTTGGATGGATGGATGGATGAATGGACGGATGGTTGGATGGATGGATGAATGGACGGATGGACGGATGGATGATGGATGGATGAATGAATGGACGGATGGTTGGTTGGATGGATGGATGGATGGATGGTTGGATGGATGGATGGATGGATGGTTGGATGGATGAACAGATGATTGGTTGGACGGGTGAACAGATGGATGGATGGATGGTTGGATGGATGGATGAATGGATGGATGGATGGTTGGATGATGGATGGATGAATGGACGGATGATTGAATGGATGGATGGATGGATGGATGGATGGATGGATGGATGAATGAATGGACGGATGGTTGGTTGGATGGATGGATGGATGGATGGTTGGATGGATGGATGGATGGATGGTTGGATGGATGAACAGATGATTGGTTGGACGGGTGAACAGATGGATGGATGGGTGAACAGATGGATGGATGAATGGATGGATGGTTGGATGATGGATGGATGAATGGACGGATGGTTGAATGGATGGATGGATGGATGGATGGATGGATGGATGGATGAATGAATGGACGGATGGTTGAATGGATGAATGGACGGATGGTTGAATGGATGGATGGATGGTTGGATGGATGGATGGATGAACAGATGATTGGTTGGATGGGTGAACAGATGGATGGATGAATGGATGGATGGTTGGATGATGGATGGATGAATGGACGGATGGTTGAATGGATGGATGGATGGTTGGATGGATGGTTGAATGGATGGATGGATGGTTGGATGGATGGATGGATGAACAGATGATTGGTTGGATGGGTGAACAGATGGATGGATGAATGGATGGATGGTTGGATGATGGATGGATGAATGGACGGATGGTTGAATGGATGGATGGATGGTTGGATGGATGGTTGAATGGATGGATGGATGGTTGGATGGATGGATGGATGAATGGATGGATGGATGGATGGATGGATGGATGGATGGATGGATGGATCTCTGCTTAGGCTGCTGTCCCCGTGACTTGATCCCAGATAAGCGGCAGAAAATGGACGGATGTCATATAACTGACATATTTTCTTTTGAACTTGGCTCAGCTAAAGTGAAACAGGAAGTGACATCACAGGGGAATTCTTTGAGAAAGAAAACTGGTTTTTGTTGATTTAAATATTATTTGAACTACGACTCTTTCTCATCTCTGTCAGATTCTTCTCTACAGTCTGTGTCGTCAGCCATTTTAGCAACACTCTGTTTACATTCAGACATTCCCCTGTGACATCACTTCCTGTTTCTTCACATGCAAATATCTCAACAACTGTTCGTCTCAGCGGTGTGAAATCTTTTTTACAATATCTTATCAATGTTATCTTTCCAAAAATACATTCGTATTTATCATAAAAATTTGATGTCACAGACACTTTAAAGAATTTTAATCAGAATGTTTTCTCTCAACATGTACAGTAACCCTGGCAGCACAGCTCTGTTTTCTAAACCCTGGAATCCTGAGTGGAGAGGAAGGAGGGGAGACGTGAAGGAAGGGAGTGAGGGAGCAGAGGTGAAGGGAGGAAGAGGAGGGGGGTGAGTCACGACCAACACGCACTTTTTCCAGCCTCGGAGAATCCAGAGCTGGGAGCGCCTCCTCGCAGTCCAGGAAGGAGGAGAGGGAAAATACCACTGAAGCTCTCAGCTCGGGAGGGAAGCTGACGTCTCCCAGGATGGAAAAAAGGAGGGAGGAGGTCTGAAACGTAAAAACTGAACCGTACCTCTGTACAGACTTTCTAATCAGCCTGCTCTGCAACCTCATTAACCCACTGGATCAACGACGGCTGCAACAAACTTCAACAACATCTGTAAAATTAGCATTTAGCTGTATTTGTGTTTGTTAGCATCGATTAGCTGTAGAAGCTTTTTAAACCTGAGTTGACCTAAAATTAACCGTTTATAGTTTCTGAGACTTTCATTCAAATCTGTTCCATGAGATATTTCTTGTGCCTGCAGGCGACGATGAGGGTTAAATTAATCCCTTTGCACAACACTGTGACAAAATGCTACATTCTTGAGAAAAACATTGTTTTAGGTTCGTGTGTCAGAAAAAAAAAAACAAGCAGACAGAAATAATTCAGGACAGGAATGATAAAAACGTCGTTTTGACTCAGAGTCAGAGTTTTGTTGAGCAGAAACTAAATTATGAAAACACGACGAGTCGTGTTTCCTTATAGAGTAAAAACAAACCTGAAGTTTTCAGGAGGATAAAAATAAGTTGTCCCTGCTCTGCTCCTCAGATGAAGCAGTTGTATAAAGTACTACGAAGTGTTACTTGAGTAAAAGTACAAATGTCTTACCAAAAAAGTACTAAAGTCTCCTTTAGGAATATTACTTGAGTAAAAGTCTCAAAGTATCTGATATTTGTTGTAGTTAAGTATTAAAAGTCAAAGTACAGATTTAAAATGAGCAGTTAGATTTTCTGTAAGGACATTTGTTAGGAGGTGACCTCCCCAAAAACTGCTGAAATGACTGATGTATTGAAATAATGACTTGATGTTAAATTTAGGATGCACTAGTCCAGCTGTTTCAGTTTATATACATATATCAAGGCTGCACAAAGCTCACACAGGGAGGAGAATGAAGAACAAACGGGCAGCAAAGACGAAAAGTAGGCTTTGAAGAAAAAAGCTCAACAAATGTTATTGTGCGTTCACACCGAACGTGATTTCAGCGTCAGGAGCAGCAGGTTTACATACAAAGTCTATGGTGGACGCGCTTCAATC